GTCAGCCTATTTTTTTTTTTCTTGATCTCATCTGAAGCTCAAGAGTTGGCCCTTTGCCTCCATTCAGTGCACAATATGTTATCCATTTAGGAAAATCTAGTGGTTAAAAACACTGCTGTTTTTTTTTTTGTGAAAAGAAAGGAAGCCAGTCCAAAAAGAGAAATTGTTTCTTGAATGCTGTTGATTCTCCTTCAGAATCAGCTTAAGAGCCAAATACCTCTCTGGTTTTTTTAAACCATAGCTCAGTGGGAGATATTCCTTTGGAGCACCATCCTGGATTGTCCTATTATGAGAAAATTGTGTTGTTAAGGTTGAAACTCAAGAGAGGCTCTCTGAGATATAAGGTATACATGGTGTTAGGAGAATGATGTGTTGCAAATATGTAGTTCAGCAAGAAAGACAGTCATAGGTGTCCAGTTGTGTCAGGGGAGGGAGAAAGATAAAAGCTTATATAATGTTTATTTGTGGTTAGACCTGAATACTGGCAAGCACATAAACCTCTTCATAAGCCCTGTTCAATCTTCCTAACATCAGCTGTGAGGCTCAGAGGTATGTTTATACAGGGAAGAGAAACTGTATAGCTAAGTTACAGAGTAAACCAGTGTCTGAGTCGGAAATAGAACTCCTTGCTTCCAATGCTGTGTTAAGTCCCATCACCACACCTTCACTGCTAGACAGCAAAGGTGCTGTGTGTTTAAACAAGGGAAAGCTATGAATAGGGCCTTAGTGGCAGTTTCCCATGCCCTCTCTTCAGGATTGAGACTAAATGCTTTCTTGTTTGTGGTCCTTTCTCTCCACAATATTTGGTTACTCAAAGCAGCAAAGTAGACATATTAAGTATTTGCAGACTGCATGCTGTGGGTATAATGCATACGTTCTGGGAGACATAAAACTGGATGGAAAACTGGGGAGACAGAGCTCACCTATTTCAAACACACCATTTTGGGCAGTACAAAATAATACATAATCAGAGAGCTAGAAGCATGCTGTGTAAATGGCTCACTATTGGGCAGACTGGAGGAACTCTGGGGACGGGTAAAAAGACTTCTATTATGAAAACATTTTCCAAATAAAATAAACTTATTGTCAGTACTTATAGAAGGCAGGTACAAGCAAATAATAGCAAATGAAGCTTGACTTTAATGTTGGGTTTTGCAGTCCCGTATTTATTTTAGATTGTGCAACTATGTTAGATTTTGATTTCTTTCAACAATTAAAAAAGACCTCTAGAGTAATGGATAGTGATTTGGGGTGTTAAAAATAGGATGTAAGCCCTGATCAGTTTGGCTCAGTGGATAGAGCATCGGCCTGCGGACTCAAGGGTCCCAGGTTCGATTCCGCTCAGGGGCATGTACCTTGGTTGCGGGCACATCCCCAATAGGGGGTGTGCAGGAGGCAGCTGATTGATGTTTCTCTCTCATCGATGTTTCTAACTCTCTATCCCTCTCCCTTCCTCTCTGTAAAAAATCAATAAAATATATTAAAAAAAAGGATGTAAAGTGGTTTAAGCAGTTGACACGTTCACCATTCTCTTTTTGTTTCTGCCATCCCATTGGTGAAACAATCTGCAGTAACTTGGGTCTACAGCTCCCAAAGTAAAGTATGAAATCCATTGACTAGTCTATTCCTGTATTTTTTCAATCAGTTTCAGTGGCCTTAAGCAGAGTTATTGCATATTATACTTCTTCCTGATAAAATTGAAATGTTTGAGATGAAGCAAGATACAGAGGATAGGATTGGAGTAATTGTGAAATAGAAATACCTCCCAAGGCCCTAGATACAAGTTAGATTACAGCACTGACCTCTCCCCAGCAACATCATTTTTATTTCACCCTTTCTTCTCTTTCTCTCAATTTTCCTGTTTTTTTTTTCTCTGCTACTTCCTTTCCCATCTCCTATTCTGCTCTCCCCACCTATATTTACTTCTTTCTCATCTGCCTTTTTTTCCTATCTTGGACCTTGTTTGGCCTAGGTTCCTGCTTCTATATATCAAAGTTGCCTCTAGCAAATTTGAGCTGGGCTTATGAGATAAAATGGTCAAGAAGGAATATGATCTTAGTGCTGTGTTAGGCTCAGGAGAAGCACTTCATAAAGATTTGTTAAACAAGAATTCAGGAATAGCCAGATTCCAATATTAATTTGAAAACTTTAGCTATTGAAAATAACAACTCTTTGCATCCTGGATTTTTCAAGATCATCTTTCCCTATAGGCACTGTAGTGAGTGAATTTCTTTTTTCCTCAAGCCAAACACTGAGGTGATTTCAGGCCTCTATAATGCTGGCAGATTTCCTCCTCCACTCCCTTCTTTGTTATATAGAAAGTGTCTTTGACCTGTTCCCTGGGAGTTGGGAGGAAAAAGTGACATAAGTAGGAATCACTTCAAAGAAATGCCTTTCACATTTTAAAATATAATTATGTAAAAACCCATTACTGGCTATATCAGGGGACAAAGAGCACTTTTATCCCATATCCTCTTCATTGAAAACATTCAGCAGCTACTTGTCTATAGTGTATTACAGAACATTCGAAAGACAGTTTTTGTCCAATGGCAGCTGTTAATCTAATTGGTTAGTAAGATTTCTGTATGTACCTTTGAACAATGTTGGCCTAGTTACCCAACAGAGATGATTAAGTTAGTGGCTACCACATGTACAAGTGGTGGCAAGCAGAGGGCATATAACTAGCTAGGTGAGAATACATTTCACTTGTGTTCACCAGAAAAGGCTTTATTGACCAGGGCCATATTAGGAGCTGAAGGCATGAAAATAAGTGATGGAATGGGCAGTGGGAGAGAGAGAAGGAGGACATCTCAGGCCAAGCATGTCAAACTCCTGACCCACAACGAATATCTTTGTGGCCCAGTCAATATGTAAGAAATGTTTTAATAAAAATTTCATAACTTAATTTTTATAGTATTCAGTTATACATAATTATTAATAACTAGAGGCCTGGTGCACGGATTTGTGCACATTGAAAGGAAATTAATTAGAAGGTGGCCGGTGGGGCTGGACTGGGTGAGACAGTCCAGACATGCCCTGGAGCCAACCTCCTGTGGTCCCTCCTCAGCTGGCGGCACCTAAGGTGGCACTGGGGCTTGAAGGGTGTCTGCGGAATGAGTGGGGTCCCTCCCGCAGGTGGGGTTCCTCAGCCTGGCCTGCAGGGATTGGCCGAAACCGACTGTCTGACATCCCCCGAGGGTCTTGGAGTGCGAGAGTGCACTCTGCAAAGTTGCTGTTGCTCAGCAGCTCCTGCGTTGAGCTTCTGACCCCTGGTGGTCAATGCGTGTCATACCTACTGGCCGGGTGGCAGTCCGACGGTTACTTAGCCATATATATATATATATATATATATATATAGATGAACTACAACGTTCGCTAATGACTGATTACTATAATCATGTTGCATTCATTTCCCTTATGCGCCTTACGTGCCTTATGCGCAGGCGCATCATTTCTTTCCACTAATACTAGCAGCGAATATTTTAGCAGCCAGTTTCCTTGTCATTAGTCTTGTACTGACTTGTTTGGTGTGTGCAACAGGAAATATTTCACTTTTGGAGAACAAGAAAAACAGGTTTATTTGTGTTACGCATATTAATTTGTGCAGTTATTCAGTGTCTGGTAAGTTAATATTCAAGAAAAAATATTAATTTTTATTAAAATGTTCTATTATTTTATGTTAACGATCACTCATTTATTTCAGCCCTTTGTATTCAGCATGTCTTTATCAAAATAAACCTATGTTTCTATGAAAATTGAAGCTTTTGTTTTTTTGCAGCCCACATAAACTTAAACCTTGTTTATTTGGCCCATGTTAGCCTTTGAGTTTGACATGCTTGTCCTAGGCTTAGGGTTTAGCATGAGAGAAGTTTGGAAAGGGGGTTACAATCTGCAGGAGGCAAATGCTGATATCATTATGTGAATTATCTCTCTAGAAAGATAATGTGATACAGTAAAGAATTTTTTAGCTAGAAGCTTTAATTAACAGGGATCCCTGCTCTCAGAACTCATGTTTTAGAAGAAAAACATGAATCAACAGTTTAATTCAGGAATTTAGTCTCAACTATTTTAAGAGCATGTCCTGGAGGTCCCATATCCACCTGTGTAACAGACCTTGTGCAACAGACCTAATACTCATACAATGAAGTTTAGCAATATTGGAGAGTAGACAATACCATTTAGAGTAGCTTAATCATTTGGTTAGGAATTAAAAAAACCTCAATTCTGGTTTTGACTATATCATTTGTACATTTTTCCAATTGTGACATTACTGTAATTCTAAATTACATAGGCCTCAGTTTCTGCTTCTGTGATATGGTGAACATTTCTTGTCTTATGTACCTTATGGTGTTCTTGTGGGAATCAAATAAAACACACACACACACACACACACACACACACACACACACACACACACACACATATATATATATTTCTTGATTTCAGAGAGGAAGAGAGGAGAGAGAGATAGAAACATCAATGATGAGAGAGAATCATTGATTGGCTGCCTCCTGCACACTTCCCACTGGGGATCAAGCCGCAACCCAGGCATGTGCCCTTGGCTGGAATCAAACCTGGGACCCTTCAGTCCGCAGGCTGATGCTCTATCCACTGAGCCAAGCCGGCTAAGGCAAAACATGCTTTTGAAAGATAAAAAGTGCCATATAAATTTCAAAGTATTAGTGTTGTTTTAACTATCAGAGTCTCTCCTCCCCCTCCTAGAGCCCCTCCCCCCATAGCTCTTTCTATCATGTAACCACAACATCTCATTCCTGTTCATTGCAATGCTACAGTACTCCACTTATTGTATTCAATATGATCCCTTCCACTCCTGCAATGTACTCTTAGAATACTTTTTAACATATGGTAGGTGCTCAAAAGGAACTTGTCAAACCAAATTGAATGTTATTTCTAATCTCAGTAGACAGAATATCTTTTACTCCATAGAAATAATGGATGGAAGGCAGATTTGATGATTCATAACATCTTGTCTCCCATAGGAGGAAAACATTTTCTACCAGTCCCTAGTGTGAGAGTGGTGAACCCTGCAGCCAGCAGGCCTCCTGAAATAAATCCATGGGTGACGGAAGATTCATTGACTTCCAATTCCAAGTTTTAAATTCAAGCCTCAGACCCAGGTTGGGCAATGCTACTGCCAATAATACTTGTATTGTTGATGATTCCTTCAAGTATAATCTGAATGGTGCTGTCTACAGTGTTGTATTCATCCTGGGTCTGATAACCAACAGTGCCTCTCTGTTTGTCTTCTGCTTCCGCATGAAAATGAGAAGTGAGACAGCTATTTTTATCACCAATCTGGCCCTCTCTGATTTGCTCTTTGTCTGCACTCTACCTTTCAAAATATTTTACAATTTCAATCGCCACTGGCCTTTTGGTGACACTCTCTGCAAGATCTCTGGGACTGCATTCCTTACCAACATCTATGGGAGCATGCTCTTCCTCACCTGTATTAGCGTGGATCGTTTCCTGGCCATTGTCTATCCCTTCAGATCTCGTACCATTAGGACCAGGAGGAATTCTGCCATTGTGTGTGCTGGAGTCTGGATCCTGGTCCTCAGTGGTGGTATTTCAGCCTCCTTGTTCTCAACCACTAATGTCAACAATACAACCACCACCTGCTTTGAGGGCTTCTCCAAACGTGTTTGGAAGACTTATTTGTCCAAGATCACCATATTTATTGAAGTGGTTGGCTTCATCATTCCTCTGATATTGAATGTCTCTTGCTCTTCTGTGGTGCTGAGAACCCTCCGCAAGCCTGCTACACTGTCTCAAATTGGGACCAATAAGAAAAAAGTGCTGAAGATGATCACAGTGCATATGGCAATCTTTGTGGTCTGTTTTGTACCCTACAATTCTGTTCTCTTCCTGTATGCCCTGGTGCGCTCTCAAGCCATTACCAATTGCTTTTTGGAAAGATTTGCTAAAATTATGTACCCAATCACCTTGTGCCTTGCAACTCTTAACTGTTGCTTTGACCCTTTCATCTATTACTTCACCCTTGAGTCCTTTCAGAAGTCCTTCTACATAAATACCCATATCAGGATGGAGTCCATGTTTAAGACTGAAATACCTCTAACCACAAAGCCTTCCCTTCCAGCTATTCAAGAGGAAGTCAGTGATCAAACAACAAATAATGGTGGTGAGTTAATGCTAGAATCCACCTTCTAGGTACGAGAATTGTCTTTAGATCCAAATATGATTTCTCCTATGATTATTTTCCTGTTATGAATAAGATGAAAGATTTGAAGCTAATGATACTGAGAATAGATTAATGTACTAAATACAGCCAAATACATTTATTTGAGCATTTACTGTATATATTCTGATTTGTTCAATAATTATAGGTCAGGTCTAATTACTACAACCAAAAGTAATTGCCAAACTCTTCTGCTGGGTTGAAATTTTATTATATCTCATTATGTAACTGGCAAGTGGACTTGACTTTAGTGATATGGGTATTACTTTCAAACTTTTAAAAACATACTCCTGAAAATATTTGGTAATTAGATTGGGCCTATAAATATAGAACAAATTCAGGGATTATTTAAAACAGACATTTTGTGTTACTACTGATATATTTTTGTTTGAATTGTTTTTCTTTGAATTTCCATCAAGTTTATTTTGGCACAAGAACATATTTTAGCCTAAAATAATTAATAAGAAATGTATCCAATTTAAAAGGGCTGGCAAATTTATTTATATATGTTGAAAGCAGAAACATAAATTGTGTTTGCATGAGCATGGATGGGAAGAAACAGAAAATTAACTGGATTTACACATTTTCAGTCACCAACAGTGTTGATTTTTTTAATTTTTTTTTTTTTTACTACATTAAGAATTTCATATGAAACTTCAAATCCAGAAAGCTGATAAATATGTGCCCAAGTCAGGTATACAATGGAAAATCATATAAAACAACAAATGTCCATTAAAAATCTAAGTAACACCAATATTTTTTTCTTTGAATTTCCAATTTCTAATATTACGTTTGAGGGACTGGTTTCTATAAAATATTCTCCATATGAAATTTTGGAGCACAGTGCAGCCAGAAAGCTGTTTCATTTGTGTCTATGTTGGAGCAAATTGGAAAAAAATAACAAAGTAATAATAACAAATAAAACAATAAAACCAACAAAAAGCTTTCTTAAAATTCGCATTAATAATTTAGGGGATGGGTGGGTAGGAGAGATTTGTAACTTTAAATTGCTTTTTCCCCCCCAAATTTTGGAACATAGTGAAGTCAGACCTGCTGAATTTGTGCCCAGGTTGGGAGCATATTGAATAAAATATATTAACTAAACCAAACCAATACAAACAAGAAAACAGAAAAATTATAAAACAATAAGAACAGCAAAACATATTTCTAATACTTGCATCAATGTTTTATTTATTTGTTGAGGATCTTTAAATTTAAAATTTGTATGAAATTTGGAGTACCATATATATATATATATATATATATATATATATATATATATGCTGATTTGTTCAATAATTATAAGTCAGGTCTAAGTACTATAACCAAAAGTAATGGCCAAACTCTTCTGCTGGGTAGAATTCTGAATTTGTGACCAAGTGAAGAGTGAATCTGAAAAAATAAAAAAAACAAAACAACCCCAAACAAAGGGGGAAAAGCACAAATAATTTAGAGCTTGGTTTTTTTTGTTTGTTTTTTTTTAGCGTTAGCAAAACTTGTCAAATGCTATAACTTTAATATGATGCTTTGCATCAAAATGCAGCTAGGCACCCAGTTCAGGAGCAATTAAAGTCAGTATTTAAAAAAAAAGAGGAAACATTTTTTGTAACTCACTAAAACAGCAAAAGTAACAAGAAAACCCTTAAAAACTCTACCATTTATTGGATGAACTGTAAATTTAAGAATATTAAGACTTGTAAAGAAAACTTCTGAGCACAATATAGCTTGAAAGATGATATATTGTGCTTATGCTAGGAGCAATGGAAATAAATACCCCAGATATAAACTACACACACACACACACACAAACTTAAAATACTGCAAAAAATAAATATTCTTAAAATGGACATTAATCAATTTTTAAAATACCTGGATGATAATAGCAATTTTAAAATGTTAAGGCTGCCGGTAACAAGGCACATTAGCTGCTTAACTTGTGCCAGAAAGTGATTAAAATATTAAAAACCATAAAACAATAACCAAAAAGTAAAATTTTTAAAGAAATAAGCAAATTTTTAAATCTCTCCTTATCCTTTGTTTCCCTTTCTGATTGTGCATAGATTTAAACATACTAAGATTTTAAGTACACATTTCTAAGAATTATATAACTTTAAAAACTGCTAAAGCTGTTCATGGATTAGGAACTAATAGAAAAATAAATGCTAAAATAATGGAACAGTAATAAAAATGAATTCTCCAAAATCTCATTACTTTTTCCTCATTATCTAAAGTCCTAAAAATAATAATGCATTATATTGTCTTGTGAAAGCAGGTAATAGATAGAATATATGACATTAGGTTCAGTTAGAGTCAATTAGGTTAAGTTAGGTTAAGCTCAGTTGTTAGGTTATATTTTAAGATCAAATTAGTAATCACAATATGAATATTCTTTTTGTGTTTTTTTTCTGGTGTTTTTTCTTTTCAGTTTCTTGTAAGTATAAATTATATGTGAACTTTTGTTTATGCCTTTGGCTCTCAAAATTATGAAACTGTAGGGTGATGATACCAAAACATTTAATGGGATATGTTAATCAAGTTGATGTAAAATATAACAGTAAACCTATTTTGTAATTTTCATATTTAGTTTTGTTTAATTTTCCATATTTCAATTTATTTTTATTAATTTCCATTTTATAGTTAATATAACTTGGAATAATAAAACATTTGTCATATGAGCAACGTAATCAATAAAATTTAATGTGTAACTAAATGTAAAATTGACTTTTATTTTTATTTTACATTTTTTAAAAAAGCAATCAATCAGTTATAATTGCAATTTGGATTTTAATTGCTTATTAAATGTAATAAAATACATTTGGATTATCTATCAGTTATACTTTGGTCTAGCGGTTGAACTTATTCAACTGTGTCTTCATTTGTGGGCACCCAGAGGCTTCTTTCCATTATCTTTCCTTCATTGTTTAAGAAAGGACTTTTTAAAGTATATTTGATCACAAATCAATTCCTATACTTTTGTTGAGGCTGTCTGGAGAAAAATGCAGAATTGCAAGTGAAAAATCCCTGGGTGACTTTTCAGCAATCAAGCTGAAAGGCTAAATACCACTTTCTCTGATTTTTCTGACTTGGTTTTGATATATTTGGAGTTTCTTGAAAAGCTGACTTTTGAATCTGATTTCTTGGATTTGATAAAATATCATAGGACAACTGGGAGGCCTGAGGAATGTTAGAGCAAATAGACTATCTGATAACAATGAGATGCTTTAGGAGCTAGGTGGCTGACTGGTCAATAACTAGAACAGGTGGTGGTCCCAGGGTGGCAGCACAGGGAATTCCTGGTTATTGTTCCCATGCCTTCTAACTCCCAGGGAAAGCAATATTAGCATCTCTTAAATCACATTGCGTATTGGTTTTCCATTAGATAGCAAATGCTGCTTTTTTTCTGACATGGCAAGGATGATCAGTCCTAGGCAATGTTTAAAATTATAGGAACTTTGTCATTAGTGACCTTCTAGGCCAGGTCCTCAAAAACAAAACAAAATAAAACAAAAACCACAAACAAAAGGAGACAGTTGCCATTTGTTTCACATCCCTCCTGACCTCCTTCCACTTCTGACTCCACCCCCAGATTCCTGCACCTTATATTTGCTATGGTTTCCCAAACTTTCTCTTTCCTGCAGCCCTTTCCCACATCACTATCTCCTGCAGAGATATTGCTTCTCAATGGCCCAAAAAATACACAAACCTCTGTCAAGGCAGTGACAGGTTGAATAGATTTACACTAAGGTGTGAATGATTGATCCATCTACTCATTGCTTTTAATCCCTCCATTGGTGTTTACATCTTAGAAAAGGAGTAAATTCTAGTTAATTCAATTGACTGAAGCAGGGTTAGGATGGGGAGAGATGACTGTTCTAGTGCATCATAAATCATCTCTTGAGCCTCAACCTGCCTCACATCCTGGTAAAGCCTCTGTACTGCAACTCTCTTGTTCTGCTCTCTTACCATTACCCTGCATGAGTCCATAGCCTACACTTCCTTTCTCCAGACAGCCCTCTTTTCCAAAACTGGCCATGGTGACCGAGAACCTGTATTCTCATTTCATATAGTCTTGAATTCTTTTGCCCAAATATCTCCTAGTTCTTGTGGATTTAGTGAAATGGTTCTTAAAATAGAAAGCATTTTGTTTCAATAAGGAAAATAAAGCCATCTACTGAGTAAAAATTTCCTCTATATTCAGGTTTTTAAAGACCTATGTATTTCCCACTGCTTTGCTTCTTTCCCTCTCTGAGTATCTCAATGAACTCTTCTCTCGCAAACATCCACAGAAGCACTGAATCATAGAACATAGAGGAACAGAGCCAGTATAAGGTCTGTGAGGAAACCCAGACAGGCTCTGAGACTGGGGAGACTTGTGTGGCCATGACAACTAGGTTTTTTTTCCTACTTATCATGGAGGAGCTCCAGCCATATAGATGAGAAGCTTGTTACAAAGAGCCCTCACTCCTTCCATTGCTAAACTGCTCAGCTTGTTACCTTTCTCACTCATGTTGGTGGTACCAAGGCCAGGTCACATTCCTCATTTGGGATCCTGGGACTTCTGAACTAACCCCAGTTCAAAGCAATTTGTGATTCTTGGGAAACTAGAGGCCTGATGCATGAGATTTGTGCAAGAGTAGGCTTTCCTTCCCCCGGCTGCCAGCACCAGCTTCCCTCTGGCACCCGGGACCCGGGCTTCCCTTGCAGCCCTGGCTTCAACTGGAAGGTTGTCTGAAAGGACGTCTGTTCTAATTACACTTGATCTTAGCCAAAAGGCCGAGAAGGGATGATGTCTGGCCTAATTAGCATATTACACTTTTATTGTTATAGATAATTTGACTAGGGGAATACTTAGGAACTCAGAATTTATTTATTCACTTATTCAACAAATTTGTTGGACATCAACTATGTGCAAGATCCTCTTCTAGGCACTAAGGATGCAGTGGTGGTAACAAGAGACAAAATTCTGTTTTACTCTGGAGTCAGAACAGGTAAAGCCCAAAACAA